ATACTACGGAGCTCCTGCTTGACAGCCTTATCTGCAAGCACCTCGGCATCGGTCGTGGCCGTGTCTGGTCTGTCTGTTGGCGGTATGGCGGAAAACCTCACAGTGGTGATGGTACTGCCTTCAGCACGGAGGGAAGCATCTGCTAACCACAGAGGGAAGAGTTTGCTTGGGTTCATGCAGCGGAAGTTCTTCTCGAGGTTGAAGATGAGGTTTTCCTCAATCCACGAACGCATCAGAGGACCCAACGTACTCGTGACGGGAAGGGGGTCGATCAACGTAAGGTGAAAGGCACCACCGGCAGCGAGGCACCGGTGAACATTTTTGAGAAGACTGGGAACTTCAGGCGATGGCAGAAGCGCCGGTAGTGCCAACGAGTAGACTATGCCGAACAGAGACGGGGCCACTGGGAAGGCCGATGGCGAAATGGCAGGTACATTAACCGGGTGGATATTTGGAAAGAGTGTGTGAGACAGCGGCGATGAAGCCAGATGGTACACTTGCTTATTGAAGTGGATGGCGGCCAGGTATGAGGTTGTTGCTGTGCAAGTTAGTCGGAGTGACGAAAAGTTGAGTTTTGCCTCTACTTACCCTGAGTCTCGTAAAGCGCGAGGACCTTCTTCGCCTTGGCAGGAGTAATTTTGTTGGGATGAGCCTTCGCTTGGTCCACCTCCACTGGCTTGTCCATGTTGTGCAAAGAAGAAAGCATCCATCTCTTCTTTTCCATCTCAAGCTCCTTGTAGAGGCTAGCATCGGTGGTCTCGCCCCAAACCTCTTTCAACCGCAAGAGGCGAATGCTATGGCTTGCAGCGGCCATTCGCCTGATCTCACGCTGCATCCCATTAAGATCCATGGACATGGCACATGCGGCATCGAGCTCTGGTGTCTCTTCAATGACCGCCTCAATCATTGGCGTTCGCACTTCCGGAGGTGGACCACAGTCCCAGGCATCTGGTGGTCTCCAGGAGTCTGGGTTGTTGGGCTTGAAGGCCATGGACCATGAAGGAACTCGCCGTAATGAACGCTGCGGACTAGAATGGCCAGGAAAAAGGTTGACAGGCGAGTCGAGCATGGCCGGTGATATCATGGCTGTTACCGCCGGCCTGTATCTTGTCAGTGACGATGCTGTAAGGGGATTGCGAGGTACTTACTGCGCCGCTGGAGAACGTGGAGGCGTTGGGGGCTCCTCCTTGACTGGCTCAGCTGTGATGGTTATATGAGAGATCATGCCTGAGATATCGTTTTCTATCGTACGAGGCAGGATGGTGACCTCTGTGCTTTTGGTGATAAATGAGGTTGGGCCGAGGGTCTGCACGTAATGCTCCCTCTTTGCCGACGTCGACTCGGCGACCGATGTATTGCATGGGGATGTCGGACCACCCATAGAGGTGTCTGTCCACTTGGAGAAAACAGAGTCTAGGAATCCTGAATATCAGTGAGCTGTGGCAAGCTTGTTGAATTGGGCTTGTCTACCTCTGTTGGATGAGATTGGTGAGCTCTGCTGTGACTCGACAGAATGCTGCTCTTGCGGCATGTAAGTGCGGTCGACCGTGGTAACGGGGCTACATGGGAGCTCCGTGGGTAGTGGCGGTGGCTCCGAGACAGCTGACAATAGCGAGCCTCTGAATGTGCTATCGATGCTCGGGGCTTTGAGAGCGTGTGTGGCGGATGTTTTGGTGCTCGATGGTGTCAGTGTCCTCTTAAGACTCCTAGATCCGAAGAAGCTGAACGGTTTGTTGTCGGACGATGAAGAGCTGCGAGTGGACATGGAACTCCTTGATGCTCTGGTCTTATCCTTGTGCTCCCGCTCAACTGCTTTCCTCTCGCGGTGCTCCTTCCTCGACTCCCTGTCGGGGTCCGTCCACACGACTTCCCACATTGCGAGTCGTTTCTCGTCGGTCCGAACGAGAGACGTGTGTTGCAATAACGATCCGAGTGGCCAGGTGAGATGTTAGGGATGCTGTGAATATACGGCCAGCCGACTTTGATGCTGATTGAGACGCAAAATTGTGAGCTTGAACCGGCCGATCAATCGCATGCCCGAAGCTCGGAAAACGGCGTGTTGCTGAACGTTTGGGTCCTGTGGAGGCCGAGGACGTAATCCGTCCGATGATTCGCGTCGTAGAAGTGAGTGAGGATGAAGTTAAGATGCAGTTGCGGTCGGCGATAGGAAGTCGCAGGGGTGAAAGGTTGAAAAGCTGCGATGACCGACAGTCTGGACCATGGAGGAGAGCCGCCGAAGGTTGAATAGGGGAGAGATGCAAGAAATCGGATTGACGAGAGTGCCGTCTCGAAGGGAGGGAAGATTCGACAAAGTGAAAATGGGAAGCCGACGTCGGCAGGTGGTGTACGGAGGAAGCTGAATGTGTTGGTTGGCCAATTCCGAGAAAAGATGGCAGGAGAAGAAAGGGCAATCACGATGTGGCAGAGGCAGGTGCAGTTCTGATTGAGAAGGGCGCTAGTGTATCAGGAGGACCACGCGAAACCTGTATCAATTGTGAAGGCAGGAGACGTCAGGTATAGAATAGAAGCCGGGGGAAGGAAGGACCGAGGGAAGACGAGGATGAGGACGAGGACGCGGACGCGGACGCGGACGCAAAGATGCGGTATGCGAAACTGCAGATAGATGGCAGTTGACAGTTGACGTGTACGAGCGTCGCTTCCGGTTGTCGTCGTGCTTGTGCGGCAGCTGCAGGAGATTCGACACGCGCCGCAGATGCGAAATGCAACGTGAGGGATGATAACTCCAGGTCGAGATCCGGTGCGGCCGACAACAACAACCTGTGGAATCGGGAGTATGAAGTGCGCAACCTACAAACGGGCCAGCCTCTCGGTACTTGATGAAGAATAGAAACAAATGACACAAGAGCGGGAAGAGTGCGTCAGAAGAGAGTGAGTGGCCCGTTCCGAGAGATTTGTATTTGTACAAATAGGTAGTTACTTTCTCTCCTCCAACAGGAACCAGGTTCGACAATGTGTGATCGTACGTGTCCGTTTGATTATGTACCGTGCTATGGATAGGACCAGGACACCAGTTGATACTGTTGGGCAAGCAGGTTGGTTCGCAAGCCGAGTCGGCGGTTGATCAAGGTCCAGTATGAATTTGTGCTCCCCGGCTTGTCCATATATCGAATTGGGACTAACACAACCGGCTTTCCTTGAACCCCCTTGGTCTTGGCTCCCCTCTCAATCTCGCCGATAGCCCATGCAGTCATCTGAGATTTTGTGGCGTCCTGCCGGTCATGGCCCTTGGGCCCCCCATCCATCTGGTCGTGCTGGTTTAGAATCATTGGACATTGATCGGCAAGTGTTTTTCATTGTCTCAATCCGTCCTCCTCCCGCGTTGCTTATTCCACCACCACCAGACAAGGGCGTCCCAGCCGGCATCGTCAACTTTGCCCTCGCTCACAGACAAGAAGTGACTGTACGTCCGAACTGCCAGTTGCACCAGGCACAACAGCGGCGACTTGTGGCAGCCAACATCAACGGGACGCAACGCGCCGTGCCACATTGGTGGAGGAAATATTGAGATGAATGCTCTTCTTCACGAACCGTTCCGAACCGTCAACGGGTTTCGCATTGTCAAACAGCAGAATTCCATTGCCCGGCCTCCCTTGACTCCAGGCACGTTGCGACCCTCATTCTTGGCCAGAATGGAACGCAAAAGGGCAGGCAGACCAGGACATGCTCATTGTGTCCTGCCTTACTGCCCCTGCCTCGAACACTCCAAGACGGCGCCCATGGAAGCTTTCAGCGAAAGGGACGGTGCGAAGCTTACGTCGCCGGCCACATGGCAAAACCCATTGCTATCTTTGGGGGCTGTGGACTATCGACAAGTTCGCGCGTCGAGTTGCGTCTTTGTGGAAACTAGCCACATCTTTGGAATCCAAATTGCCTGGTGCATACCATTCGTGCTGGACGAAAGTGAGCTAGCCATGCGATGGGGAAGCATTGGGGCCGTGTTTGCTTCCGTTTTTGCAAAGTGCCCTCGCACCATTGAAGACAGCTGCAAGCTGCCTTCTCGACTCAAGGCGGTGCTCCTCTCGATCCGCAGCGAAGCGGCAAGACCGGCGGGGAAGCCGTCGTACAGAATCTCTCTATGAGTCCATGACAGACGCGGTCGTGTCGTCTTCAGCTGTCTGAGTACCTTGTTATCGAAGAAAGTTAATTCTTTCTAAGTCATAAGTACAAGAATATAGTTTTAATAAAATAGTATAGTACTTATTTAGTACTTAAATTAAGATATTTTTTTAAGCTTATTATAAAAGAAAAATAACTATATTACTAATTACTTATTATTAAGGTTTATAAGTAGCGCTATAGTTTTAATTATTATAGCTTTAATTATAATAGCTTTGCCCGTAATAAGCGAAAAGTCTAGTTATAAGTCCCTTAAAAGCCTCTTATTAAGAGTTATAAGAGCCTCTAAGTTAAGTTAAAATACTTATTAAAATACTAATAACTAAACTAACCCCATAATAACAACTTTAATAAAAAACTTAAAGAAAAACGCTAGAATCCTCGCTATTATTAAGTACGATTTATAAAGCGTAGTAACGCGGTTATAAAATATTATTAATATATTTTATACTAAAAAAGGTATTATTAATATTAATAAGATAGATAGGGCCGTATTAATATAACGCCTTAGCTTCTTTTTATAGCTCGAGGATAATCGCTTTAAATAGTATTAGAAGTTTATTAAAAAGCTCTTTTAAATACTTTAATATATCTATTACTATTTCTATAATAATAAGACTCTTAGTACTTATATATAAGAGTGGGTTACTTATTTCTAAATAATAATATTAGCTTATTAATAAGCTATTAAAACTACGATTCTAGTAATCCCTTAACGAGGGAGAGGGTAGAATAGAAAAAAGGATAGGAGACTTATAAAAAGGGTTGAGGTTAAATAGTGCGGAATTCGAGGGCAGGGTAGCGTCTATATGTACTGCGGCAATCCTCTAGTACTGCAAAACGATGGAGTTAAACAGTGGTCTTCAGCTGTCAACTCTGCAGTCTGGTGGCTCTGTAGGTCCCGGCAGACCGTCTTGCGGAAGGCATCCGGTCAAGTCGTCCGGGGATGTCCATGACCCCGGCGAGAAAGTGACGATCCGGGCGATATGGTGGCATTGCAGCCTACACAGTACCCGCTCGAAGCGGACTCCAGAGACTCGGACCGGCAGACCGCTTGTTGGGAGCAGAGAGCAGACGATGAGACGTCGTGGATGTGTTTGTGAAGGGGTCCAGGGGGCCACTGGTCTGGGCAAACGTCAACACTTGAGCAGGGGCTGATAAGTGGCTAGCTGCGAAGCCACGGCGGTGGCATCGTAGTCCGATGTTTGGTGTTGGCGTTGGAAGACTCGCAAGACTCAACCCAAAGGCTAAGGTAAGAGTGAGATGGAGTGCAAGGCAGGGAAAGAGGGCCACTGGGATGTCGTCTGCAAGGTGGAAGAGTCGGGATCACAGATTGGATTCAGGGCGCGGGTGGATCTGCAGGGAGACGGCAATCCGGGGCAGGGCCACCCCTGAGGTCTGCCAGATCTAAACCGTCTTGGGGGACAAGGTGGTTCGTGAGTGGTCAGGTTCCAGCTTCCCACTGCAGCGGCGCCGCTAGGGGGCCAGTGTCAGGGGACTTTGCAGTCTGCGGGGCACGTCCTGGCGGCCGTAACTGCTGGCAAGCCTACTCTAAGGCACCTTAGTAGCCCAGGGACCACTCACGACTCAGCGATGGCATCGTCCGGCCAAGCCCAATACGCCCAGGTGCGCCGCGGAGCGATCCATGCCACCCTCCACTATCCTTTTGGCGGCTCACTTGGCCACTTTAAGCGAGTTTGCCAACCAACGACAATGGAGAGCAAACATTCTTTCCCTTTGCTTATTCCAACAAAGACCCAATCCAACGAGGTCTCAAGCAGGTCCCAGCTCAATTCCAGCCAGAGTCAGAGGGCCTTTGTGGTCTTTCCACTTCCCGTTCGTGCCATCCAGAAGAGTGTCTTGACTCTTGAGCCCTTTCTAGATGCGGCATACCTTACCCCCAAAGGGCCCAGTTTGCCAACCATCACCTGCGACCAACTCGAAATTGCCAACGGGCCTGGCCACAAACATGTTCCAACATCTCCTAACGGCCTACCACTGAATACCGGAGGAAGATCGGATCACGATAGCTCCATCCCAACAAGCACGGAGCACCTCTCCCACATGGTTTGACATTTTGGCCACGACGCATCGGGCGTGGTCTAGGACCGACGTTAAACTCTCCGTAGTGCTGGACGATAAAGAAGCGAGCGAGCGAGGAAAATAGCGGCCTTTTGTAGCAGTGCATAATGCGTAGGCAAGGTACGACGTGCGTATGTCTGAGTCTTCCGGAGAACTGGCCAGTGAGGAGGGCTTCAAGTCAGACTGATGACGGCTGTAGCACACGCAAGGTCAGCCGCAAAAGAGCAAACAGGTGATAGCTAGGCAATGGTCAGCAGGGGCTGATGCGAGAGCAGAACATTGTCACAAGCTCAATCTCGGTACAAGGACGAATTTCCCGCATATGATGCAAAGCACCGGTCACCGACCTTGGTGGTCCTATCAAGGAGCTTCGAGACATGTCTCGCTTGCCAAGGTATACACTGCAGCGGCCGCCTGCAGGCAAGAAATTGCCTCATGGCTGGATTTCCCGTTGTAATTGGTTTATCATCTGGAAAGACGGCAAAGCTGAGCGGCCAGATGAAGAAAGGGATAGTCAAGTAGGCCATTGGCTGCGGCTTGATCGATTATAGGGGACAGAGTCACGATGGCGGACGTTTTTGGATAGGCCTGGGCGATGGAGGGCTTGATTTCAAGGCCGATTGGGCGGTCTCCGATGTTGAAGCTATCGCGACGGGGTCCGACATCGACGATAAGGCCAGGAAGCAGGCGACTCCAATGCCTCGTTCGGACAATGGCGTAGTTCTTCGGCAGTCCGAGCGGTTGAAGAGCAAGACTAAGACGCGCCTAACCTGACAGCTGGGTCGTAGGTTCGTGAGGCGTTGCGCACAGATGGAGTTCGTTTCTTGGGATATTCGAGCTAACGTGATGGATGGTATCGTTGCTCTCCCGAAAGCCTATCAACTCGTACGAGAGCGTGGACTCGATATCAGTCGTGGCTTGAAAGTCTGGTGCGTAGGCATTGATGATGAGGGCCGGCTCGAAGCCCGTCGGCGAGGCCTTGTGGTGAATCAATGGATATGGCGTTTATCGTTGAAAAAAAAAAGGCGTCGTCGTCCGGCTTTGGGGGCTCAAGCTTTTTGAACAATCGTGGCGTCGAGAAATGGCCGGTTTAGGAGGAGCTCTCTCGCAATGTCCTTTGATGGCAGATTAGCACGAGCACCTCCACGTCCCGGTTGGCGAGTGTAGATCTCCCATGAGGCTAGCGCCTCGCGTCAACGTGGGAAGAGACAAGCTGCAGCTGATAGTGGCGGCCTGGAACTTCTCTCCTCCTCAGGCCTGGAGGCTAAACCCGCGATGTGGACTTCCCGCAAGACGTTCCCCACCTCCACGCGGCATTGGCGCAGTATAGGTTTTGCTGAGGAAAAGAAAGACTGGTACACCCTCTTTCACTGGCGTACCTCAGAAAGTGGCAGACTAAAGCAGGGTCAACTCGGTGAGGAAAGGTATCCTTCTCGGAAGAGGGGGGAAGAAGAGACATTGGATGTCGCCCAGGAGATGCAGGAGATGCATGTACAAGCTTGAGGTAGGTAGGCAAGTCTGGTAAGGTATCGGTATGTAGGTACCTACGATGGGGTCGTTTGCAGGTGTGCAGTAGACATGGGCAGGAGCGAGCAAGGATATAATTCATCCTGCCACTTTCGCCCCTTCCACTTCCAGGTTCTTCCCTTCTCTAGGCATTCCATTGACCATTAACGCACCTTCACTTTCTTCTCCAACGGTGCATCTGCCTTCCCTTTCTTCTCCTTTTCCAAGACAGCTCTTTTATCGATCCTTCCCGCAGGATTCGGTCTCGTTGCCAGGCCGTTCCGGGTACCACCTCTTCCAAGTTCTGAATATTGGACTTGCCTCAGGTTCTCGTCACCTCACTTTACATTCCTTTCTTCCACTCAATCCTTCCCATCTCAGTTCCAACACCCGCCGGACCTCGCTTCCAGGTTCTCCTGCGGCTTTCCTCATTCTTTTCCCTCCTGCCTCCTCGCCGATTGTGTGCCAACCACCTCCCGCCTCGCCTCGTACAGGACTCTGAGACATCTCAACCTTCTTCCTTTGTACTGAGTCCTGTACCACAACCTCCTCACCACTCGGGCCTCCCTACCACTCACTACCACCTACCTCTCCGAGTCGCCTGGACGCTCGTCCACCGACTCTCCTTCCTCCATCGCTCGCTATGAGCAACATGTCGACTCACTCCAACATGGAGCGTTTGGAGCCCGTCGAGTCGCCCGTTCGTCGATCCGCCATCGGCCACAGATTCCATGCTATGTGGAAAGCTGTCGATCGCTGCGACAAGCGAATCTCCACGTCCACCTTTGGACGAATCTTCAGACTCGAGGGAAGCGGCCATGTATGTTTTCTCCCCCTGCCTCTGTTGCCAAATTCTCTAACCCCGGACAGCCTAAGGAGATTCCCGATACATCATTCTTTAGGGAGATTCGCGCGGGAGTGACCACCTTTGCGACCATGGCGTACATCATCGCTGTCAATGTGAGTGTATATCCTTGACTGACTGTGAGGGTTATGTGCTGATCAGCCTAGGCAATCATTCTCTCGCAGACAGGCGGAACTTGTGAGTGCGACTTGGTAAACAGAGCCGACTGCGACAACATCGACAGCTACAAGGCTTGCAAAGAGAGTAAGTCGGCCGAGATCACGCAATGAGCCCGGCTAACCTTGCTAGATGTTCGTCTTGACCTGATCACTGCGACTGCTGCCATCGCCGGCCTCGCTAGCTTCATCTTTGGTTTCTTCACCAATCTGCCAGTGGCCCTTGCGTAAGTGTTTGTCTCGTATCCAAATCTGGCATTCACTGACAGACAGAACAGTCCAGGCATGGGCCTCAACGCATACTTCGCTTTCCAGGTCGTCGGCCCCAACGGCTCAGGCAACATTCCCTACCGTGTCGCCTTGACAGCAGTCTTCGTGGAGGGGCTCATCTTCATCGTCCTTGCTCTTACCGGAATGCGCCAGTGGCTTGTTAAGCTCATCCCCGCCACTATCAAGACGGCAACCGGCGTCGGTATCGGCTTCTTCTTGACGGAGATTGGACTTTCTTATTCGGCCGGAATCGGTGCAATTACTGGAGGCTGGAAGTCTACCCCGCTCGCCATCGCCGGATGCCCTGTTGAGATGATCGACCCGGACACCCAGATGTGTGCTGGAGGTATCATGTCGAGCCCCAAGATGTGGACGGCAATCTTCGCTGGCGGCCTTGTCACGGCCTATCTGATGTCATTCCGGGTCAAGTATGCTCTCATCATGGGTATTGCCCTGGTGTCCATCTTATCCTGGCCGTAAGTCATCCGCACTCCATGACGCGAATATCGCTGACTGTTTCAGACGCAACACATCCATCACCTACTTCCCTTACAACGAGGAAGGCGAGAATCGCTTCAACTTCTTCAAAAACGTCGTCACGTTCCATCCAATCCAGCACACCCTCAACGCCCTGGACTGGGATGTCACAAAGAATGGATCGCAATTCGCCCTGGCTCTCTTCACCTTCCTCTACGTCGACATCATTGACGCCACAGCCACGCTGTACTCCATGGTCCGTTTCTGTGGCGTTGTCGACCCCAAGGACGGCGATTTCCCTCGTTCTACCATTGCCTATTGCTGCGACGCGGCATGCATCTCCATCGGCTCACTGTTCGGTTGTTCTCCAGTCACGGCCTTCATCGAGAGCGGTGCGGGTATTGCAGAAGGTGGCCGCACCGGACTGACATCCATGACCACCGGCCTTTGCTTCCTCGTCTCCATCTTCTTTGCTCCCATCTTTGCGTCTATCCCGCCTTGGGCAACTGGTTGCACGCTCGTTCTGGTAAGTTCCAAAGGCCCCAAAGGTCTCGAGAGGTGTTCCGGTCTAACTGTCGCAGGTCGGCTGCATGATGATTCGTCAAATTACCCAGATCAACTGGCGCTATATTGGCGATGTTCTTCCATCCTTTGTCGTAATGACTTTCATTCCCTTCTCGTACAGCGTCGCTTACGGCCTTATCGCGTAAGTTGTTCTCATGACATCTCTCTAACCATGGCTGACCATCCTAGGGGCGTTTTCGTGTACACTGTTCTTAACGGCCTGATCGCCTTAACTGTCTGGCTGTCTGGGGGTAGAATCGAGCCCCGCGAGTACGATGCGAAGGAATACTGGTCCTGGAGAGGCTCTGGCAAGAAGCCTTGGTTTGTGCGTGCTGTCCGCAACAGCTGCTTCAGCAACGGCGACAACGACAGCAAGCGCCAGTTTAACATGCAGGACGACCACGATAGCTCCTACGCTCCGGGTTCGCGCATGGGTTCATCGGACCAAAAGGAGGACGGTGTTCACATGGTGACGATCCCACAGCGGGCGGTCACGCCGCGTTCCGTACACTAAAGAAAAGTACTTGGTCTAGGGTTAGATTATTCATTT